TACCACTGAGCTCTGCCTTCTCTCTTGAAGCAAGTTTTAGTTGTATTATTTCGACCATAAAACCATGATCACATCCAAGTGGACTAATTTCTTGGCACCATCCACCCCAGTCCACGTTTGCTCTCCCCCCTTTGCCTGAGAGTTGCCTTTTGAGCTGGGGTCATCAGAACCACCCCTGGCAGTGGGCAGATGTGCCGAGTCCCTTGGACTACGCCAGCTCCTCCTTGCTCCGCGGGACACCTGCCTTTGCGGGAGGGCCTGGGCCTCCCCTTTGGGGTTCAGCTGGCCAGAGCCCCGTGGTGGTGCTCGGCTCATTCTTTTGTACCCGTTTTGGATTAGCTGGTAGTTAGAGGAAGAGGCTCGGCTGGCTTCAGGTCCAGCGTTTCTTCTAGCAAGGGCACTTCACCGGTGGCTCTGTTCCTCAGGCTTCTGAAAGCGTGCGGCAGCCGGCTGACCGAGAAGCTCCTGGAAGGCGCGCCCACCGAGGACACCTTGGTCCAGATGGAACAGCTTGCGGGTGAGCTGGGAGGTGCTTGTGTGGGAGCCTTTGCCTGTGGCGGCGGCAGGGGCCGCCTTGCGTGCCCCGCCCTCCCCAATCCCAGCAGAAGGAGCTGAGGAAGGGGACCCCAGGGGCGAGTCCACGGAAGTTGGCCCTTTGCTCTTTGTGTCTTTATTGTGATCTCCTGTTTTGTTCCCCTTGACGGTCAAGTGAGAGTCTGTCCGCGGGCAGGCCAGGAAGGTCACTCCTAGGGCTGTCACTCTGGAGAGGACTGGTCGGTTGATGTTTCCGTGTCCCTTCTAGACAGTCTCTCCTCCTTTGCTCTTTAACAATAAGGACCCAAGGTTTTCCTCAGGGACAGTGGTCCCCAGACCTCACTGGCACCTGACCAGCCCTCCGGGTCTGGGGCTCTGGTCCTGTGTGTGCTAAGCAGCTTCCTGGGGGCTCTGCCTGCCTTCCGGAGATGATCTGGTTTTGTTGTTGTGGGCCCGCGGTCTTAAACGTGGGGGCGGGTGGATGAGACCTGTGACACTGTGTGTGTGCTTTGTTACTGGCAATGCGTGGCATGCTTCATTTTGCAAGCGGCTGGCTTTGACAGCTGGCACTGTTTCGAGCTCATCCCTGCAGTCTGGTGACTGCTCTGCTGTCCTGGGGGGAGGGGAGGGCAGCAAGGACAGACATGTCAGAAAGAGCAGCCTTCAGAACCCTCGTGCCCTCATGGTTCTGTGGCCGGAGCCGTGTGTGGTAGTGAAGGTGGCGGGTAGTCTGTTGGTCATTTGCACAGAGAGCGCAGTGTTTGGGGAGCGAAGGGCAGGCACCCCGGGCTCCTGTCCAGTCTTGGAGTGTGTTTTGGTCACAGGGAAGGTGAGCAGAGGGCTCGGTGCACGCTGGCATCGGACCGACCCGGCTGCAGCTGCTGTTCTGTGACACGGAGCAGAGGCGCCATGGTTTGTGAGGCTCGTCGTGAAGACAAATGGCAGCAACAAGTTGTTCCGTAAAACGGGGAGGGTGACGAGGGGCACACGGAGTCCTGCGGCTGTGCCTGCCCGAGGCGTGTGTTGTCCGGCCCCCGTGTGAGTCTCCCCGCCGGCAGGCACAGCTCGTGGCGCGCAGGGCTCCTGGCTGGCCTGACCTCGGATGCCTTGGGCTGATTGTCTTGGGAAGAGACTTGCATCTGGACAATGAGAGTGTCCCGGCGGTGCGTGTCGTGACTGTCCTTGCCGTCTGTCCTGCAGACTTAGAAGAGGAGTCAGAAGGCTGGGACAACTCCGAGGCTGAAGAGGAGGAAAAAGCCCCTGTCCTGCCGGAGGGTGCAGGAGGGCGGGAGCTGTCCGAAGGCCCAGCAGACCCTTCCTCGCTCTCAGACTGTGGAAACTGGCAGCCCCGAAAGCCATCTGTCTTTAAGTCCCTTCGGCACATGAGGCAGGTAGGCCGTGGCGGAGTGGGGCCTGAAACAGACGCCTGGAGCAGAGCTGGCGCTCTCCCTCCAGCTGGTCCCTGTCCAGCAGACTGCTCTTTCGGCCTGCCTTGTTCGAGGCCCAGCGGGTCTGGTTGGGGAGGAGGGCCCAAGAGCCTTCTTGGTGGGCGCTGGAGATGCCAGTGGGTGTCCGGGGTGTCTTAGCCCCAGGATCAGTGAGGATATAGATGGTTTCTTGAAAAGAAGGCCTGTGGTCCTTGCCATTCTAGAACCTTCTAAAGGAGTTGAGCAGTGTTGTTAGTTTGCATGGAAATGACCTGAATGGCAGCATGGTCTGGGGCTTTGGGCTGAGCTGCAGAGTGCATGTGGGATGTGGGTGATGGGGACAGTGGACAGTCACCGAGCACCAGCAGGAAGTGCGGTGCCGTGGGTCATAGAGAGCGGGGCCGACCGGTCGGGAGGAACGGGTCGCTAGGTTACCAAGGCAGCACATCTCTTGTTACAGCATCTTCCGGTGTTCCTGTTTACAGTGAGCATGAATGTTACCAGAAGTAAAGGTTGATTTAGTGGCAGAAGCTCTGTGGGGCTTCTGGGTGAAAAACATTCGCCCCCCAAAATCGTCCTGGTCTGGCTGCAGTGCCTGTCGACTGCCTGCGGGCATCCAGGTTGGAAGGGGTCTTGAATTCCGCTGGAGATGGGAGCACTCCAGGCTGCTGGGGTTTGGTGAGATGCTCTGTCACAGCCTCCCCTTTTTCTCTGGCCGTGTTCATAAACTGTAAAGCAGCAGGCCGAGCTCTGCTAAAACGCCAGCGTCACAGGAGTTAGTAAAAGGTGGTGAAAGCAGGACAAAGGCGGGACGGGGAAGGCAGTCCTCTCCAGTGACGCCTGGATGGGAGGACCCCCAGCTCTGAAGGGCATCGCTGGGCTCGGGGCTCTGGATACAGTTTGCTGCCTGCGGGCGGGCGGCGGTCCTGGGGGTGGTGCGCCCCCCAGACCACGTGCCAGAGTCGTGCTCCTCCTGGGCGCGGAGGAGTCAAGGTGCCTGGCTCCCTTTCAGGTGGTTCCGTAAAAGTTGAGTGTAGAGAGGGAAGGTAAATGTCGCCGAACACTGGTGTTTTGTCTGCTTCAAGTTCTTGAAGGTAAGACTGGGGAAAGGGTCTCAGAGCGTGCAGGAGCTCTGGGGTCAGGGTTTCAGGTGCGGATGCAAAGGCTCCACCCGCCTCTTCCTGACCTAACTTCCTTTACTCCACAGAGAGCTTCTGGACGAATGCACACGTGACTCCCGTGGGGCGGGGAGGAAGTTCAGGGCAGAACTGTCTCTTTCAGGTCCTGGGCGCGCCCTCGTTTCGCACGTTGGCCTGGCACGTCCTCATGGGGAACCAGGTGATCTGGAAGAGCAGAGACGCAGACCTCGTCCATTCAGCTTTTGAAGTTCTTCGGGTGAGAGGATCTTTTTCCTTGTACATTTGGCCTAGTGGGTTTTTAAAAAATCTTGACATCAGGTGTGAATGTTAAGTGTGTCGGGGACTCAGTGCAAAGGTTCATGCCTGAATCTGAGAGCTGCGTTTTTTCCACGGTTAACGACAGTAGCCATTCATGGTCTTCACTTCCAGTAAGGAGTCCATGCTGTCCTGACAGATTGATAACTAACTGTCCCACCTGCCCTTCCCCAGCCCCCACATCCTTCTCAGAAGCCGTTGGAGCGGCTCACAGCTGCTGTAGAAGCAGGTCTGGGTCACCAGGCAGTGCACGGGGCGTCTTGATGAGTGGGTGGGACTCAGCTGCAGCAGGCTGCCTCCAGCAGCGGGCGTGGTGGGTGCCAAGGCCCAGGTCTCGCTCTGAAAGTGTGCGTGCTGGCCGTGTGGGGACAAGATGAAGCAACCTGTCAGTGAACTTACGGCCTCTAGGGGGACGGGGGGACACATGAGCATGTGAGGAGGCAAAGAATAATGAAGAGTTAACGCTGTGGAGCAGAGGCAGCAGCAGCCATGTGGCCGGCTGCAGGAAGAGACATGGGGCTGTGTGGGGGACGCCCCAGTGGGCCTGAGTGACCGGGGTGCCTTCTGGGAGGAGAGGGCTTTGGGCTGAGCTGCAGAGTGCATGCAGGATGTGGGTGATGGGGACAGGTGGGGACAGGGTTGCTTCTGAACTGCTCTGTCCCCCCAGACCATGCTGCCAGTGGGCTGTGTCCGCGTCATACCCTACAGCAGCCAATACGAGGAGGCCTATCGCTGCAACTTCCTAGGGCTCAGCCCGCACGTGCACATTCCCTCCCACGTGCTGTCCTCAGGTGCGTCCTTTGCTGCTGCTCTGAGCCCCTGCACCTCGGCTCAGAAGTGGAGCTGCCTGGCTGGATCTGAGGGCAGCGGCTGCTGGGCTCAGAGGCACAAAGACCCTGGCTGCTGGACCAGCTTTCCCAGTGGCGTTGGGTCTCTATTTTCTGTCTTTAAAGTGGGGAAAGGTTGGACTGGACAACCTCCTAGTGAGGGAGGCCTGCTGGGCGTGGGTCTCCGTGGGGCGGATCACAGGCCTGGGGGCGGGGCTGGCACCAGTGGAGGTTAGAGGGTTTCAGTGCTGTTGTGGGCGTGAGTCGCCGACGCCGTTGAGAGGCGGGAGGCTTGCTGGGCTGGTTGTGCGCCTCCTGAGTCCCCGGCCCCGGGTCTTCCTCTCTCACTGTTCTCCTGTCATGCTTCCTTGTCCTCTGCAACTCCTCCTCCTCCTCCTGCATCCCTTAAATTTGTCCTTGGTGGTGTTCAGCACAGTGGGCTGAGTCAGCATCCCTCACTTCCGGTTTGGGGAGCTCAGGAGTTAGCTTGGGTTCAAATCCCCACCTCCCGAGGTGAGTCCAGGACTCCTCTGTGTATGTCGGTCCCAGAGCACTCGGCGCTCAGCAGCCTCAGCGCCCAGGCCGGGGCGCAAGTCCGCGAGGCAGTGCCTTTTTTCCCGGTGGCGTGCAGAACATAGGCTCTGGTGTCAGAGATGAGGGTGATACGGTTACTGCCACTGGCTGTGTGACCTTGGGCAAGCCACTCAGCTTCTCTGGGTCTGTTTCCCTGCTGTGAGACAGGGGCTCTAGCGGGACCCCTCTCCTGGAGCTGCTGGTGCTCAGCGAGCCGAGGTGCGCGGCGTGATAGCCGTTGCTGTAATGCGGTGCGCGTAGTTTCTCCCCGTCAGGCGGTAACCCTGACTCTTCACAAGTAAATCACAGGAGCTGTTAAATGCCCACGCGTCGCCCTCGGGAGACCGGGGCGGTTGGGCGCAGCAGAGCGGGGCGGGCGTGCGGAGGGCAGCGGGGCCTCCAGAGCCGGCACTTTGTGCCCCACAGAGTTTGCGGTCGTCGTGGAGGCCCGGCCAGCGACCCGCTCTGGCCCGCAGCCAGCGGGCCGCGAGGACGCCCAGTCTCTCAGCAAGCACGAGTTCGTGGTGACCAGCGGGAGTCCTGTCGCTGCGGACCGAGGTGGGTGCTGCTGGGCCGCCTCCCCCCAGGGCCAGATGGGGAGAAGGGCGCCGAGGCTGCCTCTTGCTCCCCGGTGCTGAGCCCTGTCCCACTCTGCCCCCATCCTTGTCTCCAGTTGGCCCCACCATCCTGAATAAAATGGAAGCTGCTTTGACCAACCAGAACCTGTCCGTGGACGTGGTAGACCAGTGCCTGGTCTGCCTGAAGGAGGAGTGGATGAAGTAAGCCCCCTCCGCCAGGCCCCTGGGTCTGCGCGGTCTGACCGGGAGGGCTGGGCTGTGTCAGCACTGTGTTCTGCTGTGGGAAGTCAGAAACTTCCAGAAAAAGCGATATTCTGTGGCCCCTGGGAGAGATGGTACAGAGCAGGGTTATGAGCATGGGTTTAAACACGGCCCACCACTTGCTACGTTAGCAGGGTGCCCTGGCGCGGGTGACCCGCACTCCCAGGCCACAGATGGCCCTCTGCACGGTGGGGCGACGCCTACCTCCAGGGAAGCAGGTATTTCTGATGCTTCATTAACTTTGAAAATTGGAAGTTCAGATAAAAGATGTTCCCCTTTTATCGTAAAGCAAATTACTTCTCCTGCCTTCTTAGTAATTTTTATGAAATTTAATTAGCCAAACTTTGTCCTAATTTCAAGTAACAGAGTTTAGGAGCAGCAGCTCCTTTCACGCACGGGAGGGACGTCTGTCTTGCTTGTCTCCCATTGTGCTGCACCAGCCGCGTCGCCCAGGGCTGGCCTGGTGGGCGAGTGGGGGCCCCGAGTGTGCAGGTGTGGGCTGCTACGTGCATCTCCTGTGTGCGTCTGAGCTCCAGCTCTGCGTGCGTGCGTGGGGAGCTTCGTTGGTCTTGAAGCCGTTCAGGTCTCAGGGCCAGGACGCTGGTGTTCATGCTGTGCTGTCTGAGTGTGTGTTTTTGGTTTTCTGCAGCAAAGTGAAGGTCCTTTTCAAATTCACCAAGGTGGATAGTCGACCCAAAGAGGACACGCAGAAGCTCCTGAGTATCCTGGGAGCATCCGAGGAGGACAATGTCAAGCTGCTCAAATTCTGGATGACAGGCCTGAGCAAAACCTACAAGTCGCACCTCATGTCCACGGTCCGAAGCCCCACGGCCTCTGAGCCTCGTACTTGACCCCGCCGTGGGAGGCTGTGTCTGCCTGCCGGGAAGCGGTGGAGGCCGTCCTCGCCGCCCGGCTCTGAGACAGGCCTCTGATGGCACTCCCTGGCTGCCCTCCCGTTTCCCATCTGCTGGCGTGGAGCTCTTTCCTAATGAGAAACGGAAAGTGTTAGGTCTTGACCTTTGCCCTCTGTGTGGGCTGTGGGCCTGGCGTGCTCCTTGGCACTGTCCTGCAAACTGAGTGGCTCCAGCCCTGACGGGGGCAGTGGGAGACTTCAAGCTCGAGGCCCTGCATTTGTGCAGCGCTGTGGGAGGAGGAGGTAAAGAGAGCGTCTCGCACCTCTTGTGGACGCAGAGCTCAGAATTTCTAGGGAGAACGTGTCAGGCCAGCCCCGACTTGGGCGTCTTAGCCGCCCTGTCATGTTGTCTCTTGAGGTTAGGGTTTGAGCCTTTCTGTTCTGAAACGCAGTGAATTTCCAGGCTTTATGTGTTCGTGAGTTTGGCTGCAGTTGTGAGTTTTCAGGAAGCGTGCTGATCTGCAATCGTCGTCAGAACCCTGGGTTTGAGTTGAGGTGTAGGGAGAGGCTTTCAGGGCGGAGTGGGTGCTCCCTTTGTCTCTGGATCCCTTGGAGGGCGTGTTCTGAAGTGTCTGGCGACGCTGTCCTGGCTGCTTTGAAGTCTCCCCGTATGTTGAAGATGCCCCTGGTGTTTTTTACCCAGAGATGCTACTTTGCTGAAATACTCGATGGGGCCCTGGGACTGGCCTCGCTCGCTGTGGGGTTGAGAAGCCCGTCAGCGTTCTATTCCAGACCGCTTTGCCCTTTATTGCTCCTTGAAATGTCTGCGTTTGGCTGCAGTTGCTTTTCAGAGTGTGATCCTGTAGGGCGGCTCTGTGGTCCTCGTGCACGTTTCTGATGAGGATTTGTGGTCTGGGGGGATTTTCCAGTGACTTTGCTGATTTGTTTGTAGTTTTTCATGTTTAATTTAATGACGAGCTGTCTGTATCATGCAAGAACATTGGAATAACATATATTTTTATAAGCTGTTGACTACTTGGTTTTATTGGTTTGATGTCTAAAATTGCCTTGGGGTCACTCACTGAAATTAGTGTGATTAAAATAACACAAACAATACAACTATTCTGAAACTCTGGACTCTAGTGAACACTTAGTGTCCAGGGGAAGACGTGGACAGCAAGTTGTGGTTAGTTTTCAGTCAGTTTTAGCTGTTAGTACGTACACCGCAGGTCTCTGCCCGCCCCCAGCGGCATGGCAGGGCCGTGCACACCTTCCTGGAGCAGCCTGCACACTGCTCGCAGGAACAGGGGGCGTAAGAAGGGTCCTGTCCTCCAGGTACTGGCCTCTGCTTGATGCTTACTGCTGCCTCTGGGGACGGTGCAGACAGGGGCGGCCCTTGTCGTGGCACCTCCCGTCTCAATGAGCTGATGCCAGGGGTGTCGCAGGCTGGCACCCTCTTCCTTGCTTCATTTTTCCCTTTTCCCTGTTCGGGAGCCAGACATCAAAGACACAACATTCAGAAACAATTGCACATGTGAGAAAGAAAGTGACTGTGCGTGCCCAGGGAAGCACTCAAGAAAAGACCTGAGAAAAACCGAAGCTTAAGCCTCAGGCTGACCCTTGGCAAAAAGCTCGCAGCAATAAAGGTAAAAGCACAACAAACCAGCAAACCCTGGGGACGAGGGAGAGTCTGGCTTCCAGAGTCACCACATTTCCGGGCGTAAATGTCCAGTGTTGAACAACAGCAACAGAAGTCACAAGGCACACGAAGAAATAGGGAGGTGGAGCCTGTCGAAAGGGAGGACTCCAGCAGGGTCTGTCCCAGGAGAGACTGAAAGGCAGATACGTTAGGCAGAGACTTTAAAACAACTGTCTTAAAGGTGCTCAGAGTACTAGAGGAAGATGTGGAGACGGTCAAGAAAATGATGTATGAACAAAATGGAAACATCAAAGAGACAGAAAACCAGAAAAGAAACCAAAAAGCTTCTGGAACTGGAAACACAGTAACTGAAGTGAAAAATTCACTAGAGGGATTTAAAGACAAATTTGAGTCAGTGCGCTTGAAGACAGGACAACGACGGCTGCTTTGTGGCCAAGGGCCAGAGCCCGGGAGACTGTGAGATGCCAACAGGAGGACCAACACGTGCGGCACGGGAGCCTGAGAAGAGGGTAGAGAATATGTGAATAAATAATGGCTGAAAACTTCCCAGGTTTCATAGAAGACATGGAAGTAAACATACACCAGAGATACTGTGGGTTTGGGGCCAGACCACTGCAATGAAGCAAATACTGCAATCAAGTGAGGCTCACACGAGTGTTTTGGTTTCCCAGTGCACATAAAAGTTATGTTCACACTATACTGCAGTCTACTAAGTGTGCAAAAAAAAGTACATACCTTAATGTTAATGTAGTACTGCAAAATGCTAACCATCATTTGAGTTCAGTGAGTTGTAGCAGTAATATCAAAGATCATAGACCATAGGTCACCATAACAATAACTCAGAAGTTTGAACTATTGGGAGAATGACAAAAACATACACAGAGACATGTGGTGAGCAAGTGCTGTTGGAGTAACGGTGCCAGGAGACCGCTTAGTGCAGGGCTGCCACAAGCCTTCAGTCTGTTAAAGAACACAGTATCCGCAAAGCACAGTAAAGCAAATGGCCTGTACGAGAGCCCGAACAAACCCCAAGTGAGGTGAAGCCCCGAAGCCCCACACCGAGATGTGCGTGGAGAAAAGGCAAAGACGAGGCAGATCTTGAAGGCAGCAAGAGAGCAGTGAGTCATCACGCACAGGGATCCTCGACAGGATTGTCAATCAGAAACATCGGGGCCAGAAGACAGAGGGCTGCTTAATCGAAACTCTAAAAGAAGTAAACCAAGAATCCTCTGTGCAGCAACTCTGTCCTTTGGAAGTGAGGGGAAGTCAGGGCTCCCAGACGAAAGACGAGGAGTTGTAACCACTAGGCCCGTCCTGCACGAAGTGCTCGGGGTGGGGGGGCCCACAGGGCAGCGGGAAAGGACACAGGACAGCACCTCAAAGCGGTGTGAGGAAACACAGATCCCAGCAAAGGCAGATGCTCGGGCAGTTTGGAAAACTGCACTCACTAGCTAGTCTTCTAGCTGTACGTTTTATGTTCTCTATAACTTAAGAAACGTTTAAAAAAATGCTAATATGTAACTTTGGTTTGTGATTCCAAGTTGTGTTTTCTACATGATTTAGGAGACTGATGCATTTAGAAGAATTACGTTTGTCTTGTGGCACATGGTGTATCAAGATGTGACCGAGAGGACAGGGCAGAGCTGCAAAGGAGCAGAACTTCTGTCTGTCATTGAAGTTAGGCTGCCATAAATTCAAATAAAAATATTGTAACTTTAGGACTTGAAATGTAATCCTCATGGTAACCACAAAGAAAGTAGCTATAGAATATACACAAGAAGAAATTAAGAAGGAATTTAAACATTTCATTAAAAAAAAAGACAAGAATGCAGGAAATGAACAAAAAAGCTATAGAAAACAGACAGCACAATGACGGGTTAGTCCCTCCTTCTCAGAAATCACTTCAAATGTAAAAGGACTAAACTCTTCAAGCAAAAAAAACCAGAGATTGGCTGGATGGATGAACACCAAGTCCAGCCACATGCTGTCTGTGGAGACTCACTTGAGAGCCGAAGGCACAGCTGAGAGCGAAAGGATGGAAAACGATACTCTTGGCAAATAGCAACCAAAAGAGAGCAGGAGTGGTCATACTGGTTATTTGTCTGGTTATCTGCAGACAAGCAGGCTTTAAATCAAAAAGCGTTCACAAGAGACAAACAAGGACATTGTGTGTTAACAAAAGGCTTTTTGTGTAATAACATACCGCGAGGAGATGCAACAGCTACAAGCCACTTACACAGCTCGTGACCGACCGTCAAAATAGATGGCGTACAAACCCAGGAAGAGAACTGCCTCCACGTAGTCAGAGCCACTTGTGAAAAAGCCGCAGCGGACGACATCATGCTCCGTGGCGACACACTGACCGCCTCCCCTCTGAGATCCGGGACAAGGGAGGGTGCTCAGTTGCACCACCTTCATGCAGATCGCGCTGCAAGTTCTAGCCAGAGCAGTTAGGCGGGAGAAAGAAAGCAGAGGCATCCAAGCCGGAAAGGGAGTCAGGAAGTTACTTCTGTTTACAGAAGATAAGCTGATACATGTAGAAAATCCTAGACTCCACAAAAAAGCTATTAGGTCTAGTGAGTGAATGTAGCAGGGTCTAGGATACAAAGTCAGTGCAAACGGCTGTAATTCTATGCACAAGCAATGAGCGTTCTGAAAAGGGAATTACAAAAGCAGTTTCATTCACAAAGCATCGAAAAGAATGAAACACTTAAGAATTAACCAAGGAGGTGAAGTCTTGTATAAAGAAAACTGCAAAGGGGGAGGGTGTAGCTCAGGGGGAGAGCGTGTGCCTGGCAGGCACGAGGTCCTGGGTTCAACCCCCAGTCCCTCCACCAAACAAATAAGTGAAAACCTAATTCTCTCTCCCCACCCCCAAAAAGAAAACTACAAAACATTGCTGCAAGAAATTAAAGACACAGATCAGTGGAAACATCCCATGTTCATAGATTGGAAGACTAAATATTGTTAAGGTCAGTATTACCCCAAAGTTATATATATATATATATATACACACACGTAGTCAATGCAATCTCTGTGAAAATCTGTGACTTTTTTTTTTAAAACAAATAGAAAAACTCATCATAAAATTCATTTGGAGTCTCTAGAGATTCCAAATAGCCAAACAACCTTGAAAAAGAAGGATGAAGTTGGAGAAGTCGTGCTTCTTGATTTCAGAACTTACAGTAATCAAAACCACGTGGCGCTGGCGCAGAGACAGACATGAGGGCTGGTGCAGGAGAACAGGGAGCCCGGGAAAGAACCTCAGAAATGCAGCCACGAGGCTTCTGATGAGGCTGCCAAGACCTTCAGCGGGGAAAGCATAGTCTTTCTCAACAGATGGTGTTGGGAAAACTGGATGTCCCCGTGCAAAGAAACAAAGTTGAACCGTGGCCCAACACCATATGTAAAAATCAGCCGAGAACGGACCAAGGACCTAAATGTAAGGCCTCAAACAGTCAAACTCTGAAGGACATAGGACACAATCTTCTTGACATTGGTTTTGTCAATTATTACTGGATATGACACCAAAGGCACAAGGAACAAAAGAAAAAGTAGACAAGTTAGACTTCGTGGAAATTTTAAATTTTTGTATATCAAAAGACACTATCCACAGCATAAATAGGCCGCGCGCGGAACAGGAGGCGGTACGTGCTCACCACGTGAATGCCGAGGGGCTCTGACACCCACTTCAGCAGCAGCGATAACAACGCGATTCAAGATGGCAGAGGAGGCGAGCAGACCCGCAGGTCACTGGAACAGGATACAGAGCCTAGAAAGAAGCCTGTGCACTCATGGTCAGCGAATCTACAACAAAGGAGGCAGGAACACACAGTGCAGAAAAGACAGTCCCTTCAACAAGTGGTGCTGGGAACACTGGACAGCCACAGGTAAAAGGATGAAGTTACATTTTCTCACACCAGGTACAAAAGTAAACTCGAAACGGACTGAAGACCTAAAGGCAAGAAACCATGAAACTAGAAGAAAACATAGAACACTCTGACATGAGCCCCAGCCATATTTTGGGGGGTCTGTCTCCTAAAGTGACATAGGAAAAAAAATACACATATGGGACCTAATTAAACGTAAAAGCTTTTGCACAACAAAGGGACTCACCATTGACAGAATGAAAAGACAACCTCCTGAATGACAAAGTCTTTGCAAATGATGCAGCTGATAAGGAGTCAGAATGGCCATCATCCAAAAGACCATAAATGCTGACAAGAATGTGGAGCAAAGGGAATCTCCTACTCTGTGGGTGGGACTGTAAGTTGGTGCATCTACTGTGGAGTACAGTATGGAGGTTTCTCAAAAAACTAGAAACAGAACTACCATGTGACCCAGCAGTTCCACTCCTGGGTATATACCTGAAAAAACAAGACAAAATAAAAACACCAATTTGAAAAGATACATGCACCTCAGTTTTCATAGCAGCATTATTTACAAATTGCCAAACTATGAAAACAACCTAAGTGTCCATCAACAGATGAATGGGTAAAGAAGATGTGGTATATATGTACACTACGGCATACTACTCAGCCCCAAAAATGAACGAAATTTTGCCATCTGCAGCCACATGGGTGGACTTGGAGGGCACTATGCTAAGAAAAATAAGTCAGACAGAGAAAGACAAATACTGTATTATATCACTTACATGTGGAACCTAAAAAATACAACAAATTAGTGAATGTAACAAAAGGGACCAATACAGAGAGCAAACGAGTGCTTAGTGGGGGGGGGGACGAGGTGGGGAGCATGGGAGAGACAAACCCCTGGGCGTGAGACAGGTTCAGGGATGTACTAAACAATCCAGGGAATATAGCCAGTATTCTGTAATAACTAAATGGAAAGTAGCCTTTAAAAATTGTATTTTAAACAAAGTAGAATGGTAGTTGTCAGGGGCTTGAGGGAGAGAGAATGGGGAATTACTTTGAATAGGCACAGAATTTCAGTTTTACAAGATGAAAAGAGTGACTGGGGTGGATGGTGGTGATGGCTGCACAACTGTGTGAATGTACTTAATACCACTGAACTGTACACTTAAAATTATTATGATGACAAGTTTTATGTCTTTTAACACAATTTAAAAAAATAATGTCACCAGTGAGTGGCCAGTTCTCTGTGGTGTGAAGGGTTAAACTGCGTTAGTGATCTTGGACAGTTTTCCCGAAGTTAGTGTTTGAAACTGGTGGAAAGGTAATACTCATTTATTACAAAGACATCTGTTAGCTGTCTACAACGGTTTGCTTAGCATTTTGCTCAACTTTTGTAAACAGCCCATTCCTCAAAGGTGTAGAAGCTACATCCATTTGTGCGGAAGCTGGCTGGCAGCACACGCAGGTGACAGTGGGACCCTTGCCCTGCCGGCTGTGTGTTCAGTCACCTACTTGGAGGGGGCCTCCGCTCATCAGGCCAAGGGTAAGGGAAGGGAAGAGATGACTGCCACTGCGTCTGTCTCTCTGTTTTTTGGGGTTCCCATTTCCTGGGAACACTGTTCTTATGTTCAAAGATTTTCCAGGCTAAGTAGGAGCTAGGCGTTCGCTCTAAATTTCGTGTGTCACGAATCTCTTCCTGACAAGAAGGGAAGGCAGGGCCACATAGTGACTAGCTTTTCTGGACAGCTGTGGCCTTTTCCACCCTGAGAACAGTGTACTTCTCCAAGACCCATTTGCCCTGGAGCCTCCAGGGGGACCGCAGTGGGTGATACACGTATGTGAGAAGTGACACGTATGCTAACACGCGTATTGAGCTGAACAAGAGTTCACACTGGTGTCTGTGACTCCACCCTAGGGCCAAGGGGGTCATTCTGGCCTCTTGCTTCTCTCTAACCTCCTGGTGTAACAGGGAGGGCCTGGGTCCCCTGTCTGACAGCTGTTTACTAACAAGGGACACCACCGACATTGGTACATTACTAATTAAACTCCTGACTTGGATTCCACCAGTGTTCCCACTGACGGCATCTTTCTGTTCCGTTTAACCCCAGTGAGGGTGTCCAGCGTTTCAGGACTGTTAACCAGTTCCCTGAGAAATGAAGGTACCAACTGGAAGACTGTTCATGACAGTTCCTTTCGTGTTCAGCCTTGTGGTTCCCAAGGTTACTTAGGTCCGCTCCCTCTTCCCCCCGTGGGGTGGGGGTCTGATGTTTTTAACAGATGTGGAGGCGGAGGCGGAGAGGAGCCGTCGTGCCTGCTTAGGGCGTGCACGGGCCCCAGGCTTGCTAAGGCAGGGCCACGGAATCCTTGCTCCGCAGGCTGGCTTGCGCGTCTTCACGCA